GCCTCGGCCTCCCAAAGTGCTTGGATTACAAGCGTGAGCCACCACGCCCGGCCTACAGCATGTGTTTAAGACGTAAGTTTTGAAGTCCAACAAACCTGTGTTTGAGTGCTAACACCTTGTGTACAAAACTTAGATAAAAAATTGAAGCTTCCAACCTTAGTTTCCACATTAAATGGGGATAATAGTTTCCAGCCTCATAAAGCTATCAGGAGGATAAAATAAAATGCTTGATAGAGGGTTCAAAAATTGATAGTTATTATTGTTACTATTAAATTGTAATTTATAGTAACAACAGATTTTATTATTTACAATGTAATTTAATAGATGCAAGGTGTATGAAATGGGGTATTATTTAATATGTTTTATGAAGTATTCTCTGAATTTTAAAATCAAATGAGAAATACTTTCCATTTATTTATATAATATATGGATTCTCAGTTCCCAACTAGTTTTAATATTTTATTAAATTTAGAATTGATAATGAAATACATATAAGTTGTCAACCTACCACCATTAATAAGTGTCCCAAATTTCCAATCTAAAGAGCAGAACAAGGTTAAGAATGACATTAATACAGTCATTCTCCAGTCCCACTAATTTCTTCTCTTTTAGAACTATAAAGATTTTCAGAAAGAAAGTATTTTTAAAAACCCAATGGAACAGAATCCTGACCCAAAACCAGAGAACTAGTCCAAGCACCTGGTCTGGTGGCCAGAAAAGCCTAAGCAACTTTTCAATTTTGTTTCTATTGAATAAATGTTACTAATGTGCCTGACATCGTTTTTTTTGTTTGTTTGTTTGTTTTGAGATGGAGTCTTGCTCTGTTGCCAGGCTGGAGTATAGTAGCACGATCTCTCCTCACTACAACCTCTGCCTCCCAGGTTCAAGTGATTCTCCTGCCTCAACCTCCTGAGTAGCTGGAACTAAAGGCACACACCACCACACCCAGCTAATTTTTGTATTTTTAGTAGAGACGGGTTTCAGCATGTTGGCCAGGGTGGTCTCAATCTCTTGACCTCATTATCCGCCCGCCGCAGACTCCCAAAGTGTGGGATTACAGGCGTGAGCTACCACGCCCGGCTGAGCAAGAAATCTTTTTAAGTAATTAAAGGAGGATCTTACTCATGTACTCCAACAATGTTATCAGGTGCTTTTTTTCTCTACCTGCTTTTAGTTCTTGGTACTCAAGAGGATATATGTAGAAGATACTGAAGCACCACCCCCAAACACACATACTCCCAAATAAAAAGAAATATTAAGCCTGGATTCCCTAACATTAAATTTACTGCAAACTTTACAAAACGGGAATACAAGAAATTAAAGCAGTCGCTAGTTGCACACATTAATCAATTCCCTTACTTGATTTTTATAAATTCGGTTCAACAGGCTTTCTGTGTTATTTCTAAGCACAAAGCCGACAATACGGTTCCTTACCTTTCCATTAGCTTCTCTTTATCCCAATTGAAGTGGCTAAGGAGTATTCTTGTGATAGTTGCTGGATTCTAAAGAAGGAGGGGAAAAAAAGTCATTTTAAGGTAATAACACTTCACTGACATTTAGTGAACTCCTAGGTTGAAGTTAAATTTCCATAATACTCTACCCAAATTTCCATCCCTAGGGTATTTCTTTATTCCTCTAAGGAAATATATTTTAATGACAAGATCAAGACTATTTAAACATAGTCTGCCACACTACTATGTCACGTTTCTTTAGGATTCAAAATAAGCCAAAAAGAAATTACACAGAAAGTAAGTTAGGCGCTGTCTTAATCGCAAAAAAAATAATTTCAACAGACTACCACATGAGCACACTAAATGTAATCAAGAAAATTTTTAAAAGAAAATTTCCAACACTCAGACACGATCGCATGTGCCTATAGTCCTAGCCACTTGGGAGGCTGAGGCAGGAGGATCTCAGGCCCCAGAGTTCGAGTCCAGCCTGGGCAACATAGTTAGATCCAGTCTCTTAAAAAAAAAAAAGAAATCATTTAATACCTTATGCACTGAATAGTTCAAATGCGGTCAAATCACTTTTAAGTTAGAAGGATACTTCACAGATATTTAAGCAAAATTTTAAAATACTGTACCACATAGTAGTTTACAAGGTAAACTTTTAGGCTGCTATTTCAAGAAGGAAAAGTTACCACTATGAAATAAAACAAAACCAAAGTTTACTACCTTATCATTCAATGCTGTCACAGATATCTCCATTTCCCATAAAACTAGTGAGCTTACTATTTGTGTACAAATTTTAACTCAAAATGCAATGGGGCCTAAGAAATCAGCAAGGCCTGACTCAAAGATATGAGAGCTAGTTACAATAGCAGAAGTGGAACCCAAACATGGGTCTGCTTATTTGTGTCTCATATATAATTTTACTACATCAAATAACCTTCCAAAAAAGATCTCTGTGGACTAAAACCACTTTACTTCACCACAGGCGGGCCATAGTTAGCTACAGATTTAAAGTAAACTCGTATAAAAATAGTGCCATGAAAGAAATGTATGTCAATTGTTTTCAACAGTACCATTTGTTACAGAAAAATTTACACACATGCATACTCCCCTCCAAAAGCCAAAGATACGGGTACTCACTCACTCACCTTAGTACATTTTGCTAATCTATCTAGGTACTCCTTACTTCTTTGGACTCACACTCCCCTAAGAATCTGTCTTTAACAGAGCACTGCAGATAGACGCCACCCATCTATAAGTTAAGATGTGAAAAGAAATATTTTAACTGATCCTAAGTTATACATATATTTGTAGAGAATATAGAGACACTGTCATCTCCAGCTTTCTTAGAAATGTGATCTAAAACTTTTTTTTAAAAGAACTGAGTTCAGTAAGTTTTAACAAGAGGATTTGCCTACAACTGAAATAAAGTAACTAATTAAGATTTAGTTATATGTAAAATAAGAGCAATAATCCATCAATCGAGAGACTTAAGTCTCCTGTCATTAACTAAAACTGCATGACTACAACTTTGTGGCATCCAGTACACTATATTTTCTACCACTGGATAGGGTGTTTGGGGTAAAATATTTCAGGAATTGTTAAGAGCCTCAACTCGCAAAAAGGGAAAAAAGAGAGGAGAGGGAGTATAACTTCATGTTGCTAGTGCCAAATATTGGTTCTATCCACAAGTTCCCAAACCTGTTATTGGTTTATCAAAAGTAACTATGGTAAGTTTTATTAAAACAGATTCCTAGTTTCCACCACCATACTTTTATTTAATACGGTTGGGGCAAAGGCTCCCTAAATGTGCTCACTGCCATGTGAGGCATGACAGGTAGGAGACTCAAACTATAATTCCATGCTTCTGGCTAGGGGAATAAAGAAGGCCCCTGGGAACTGAAGAATATGGGTGAAATCACTGATGATAAGAGACAGAAAAGTAGATCCCTAAGTCCGTGGGCCCAGCTACAAGCTATCTATATATACGCAGAACAGATCCAAAGAAGTGTAAGGTAGGCTTTCACAATAGAACTAGGATATAAATCACTGCTCAAATGCTAGATCAACCAAAGTGGGAATGGGAGGGGCAAATGCAAACAACACGGCAAAGACTTTGAAAACTAAACAGATAATGGAACCACTGCCTATATAAGAAAAGAAAGAATTTGCAGGTATAAACTAACTACGTTGATTTGTCTACTAAAACAAACAAATCTTCAACTTTCTCTACAGCATTTCAACGGGACTCAGAATCTCACAATATTCAAAATGTCTGGGATAGAATCTAAACTACCAAACACAGCAAATACAAAAACAAAAAACTGACCAATTCTTAAAGCAGAAGGTAATCAACAGACACTGACTTTTATCTAGATGACCCACATATCATAATTATCACAGACTTTTAAAGCAGTTATTTTATTTTTATTTTTTATTTTTCGAGATGGAGTTTTGCTCTTGTTGACCAGGCTGGAGTGCAATGGCACAATCTTGGCTCCCACAACCTCCGCCTCTCGGGTTCAAGCAGTTCTCCTGCCTCAGCCTCCCAAGTAGCTGGAATTACAGGCATGTGCCACCATTCCCGGCTAAATTTTTTGTATTTTTAGTAGAGACAGGGTTTCTCTATGTTGGTCAGGCTGGTCTCAAACTCCTGACCTCAGGTGATCTGCCCGCCTCGGCCTCCCAAAGTGCTGGGATTACAGACCAGCAGTTATTAAAACCATGATCCATTAGGTAAAAAATGAACACCTTAAAACAAATATGAAATTATCTTTTCTGTTGTTTTTTTGATGGAGTCTTGTTCTGTCGTTCAGGCTGGAATGCAGCGGTGCGATCTAGGCTCACTGCACCCTCTGCCTCCCCAGTTCAAGCAATTCTCCTGCCTCAGCCTACCAAGTGGCTGGGATTACAGGTGCATACCACCACGCCCAGCTAGTTTTTTTTTTTTATTTTTAGTAGAGGGTGAAACCCCCTTTACTGGTCTCAAACTCCTGACCTCAAATGATCCACCCACCTTGGCCTCCCAAAGTGCTGGAATTACAAGCATGAGCCATTGTGCCTGGCCAAAATTCTGTTGTTTTTGTTTTGTTTTGTTTTGAGACAAGGTCTTGCTTTGTTGTCCAGGATGGAGTGCACTGGTGCAATCTCAGCTCACTGCAGCCTCAACCTCTTGGTTCAGGTGATTCTACCAACTCAGCCTCCTGAGTAGGTGAACGACAGGCAAGCGCCACCATGCCCAGCTAGTATTTTGTATTTTAGTAGAGACAGGGTTTTGCTATGTTGCCCAAGCTGGTCTCGAACTCCTAGACTCAAATGATCCTTCCACCTTGGCCTCCCAAAGTGCTGGGATTACAGGCATAAGCCACAGAGCCTGGTCTGAAATTCTCAAAAAAGAAAGAGTTGACTATTTTTTTAAAAAATGGAAATTTTAGAACTCACTGGACTGGCTCACTATCAGAAAGAAGATGACAGAAGAGTCAGTGAACTTGAAGACATGGCAACAGAAATTATCCAATCTTAACAAAAGAGAGAAGAAATATTTTTTTTAAAATGAACAATCTCTCAGGGCCTATAGGATATCAAAAGGTATCAAGCTAGAATTCCATATTCACTATAAGTATAGTTCACAAATGAAGACAAAGACATTATCAGACAAAAAAGCAAAAAACAGGTTAGGTGCAGCGGCTCACACCTCTATATTTCAGTGCTTTGGGACACTGAGGCAGGAGGATCACTTGAGCCCAGGAGTTTGAGACCAGCCTGAGCAACATGGTAAGACCCCGTCTTTACAAAAACTACAAAAAATTAGCTGGGTGTGGTGGCATACGCCTGTAGTCCCACTAGCTGAGGAGGCTGAGGCAAGAGGATCATTTGAACCTGGGAGGTTGAGGCTGCAATGAGCTGTGATCATACCACTGCACTCCAGCCTGAGCAACAAGGCAAGACTCTGTCTTAGAGACAGACAGACAGAGACACACAGAGATGAGAGAGAGAGAGAGAGAGAGGGAGAGAGAGATTGAAACCTGCTCTAAAAGAAAAGCTGTAAGAAATTCTTTGGGTGGAAGGGAAATGATATGGGGTAAGTAGAATATTTTAAAAATTTCAAATAATCCAAAAGGCAGAAAAAGGAGGAACAAAGAGAAAAGTAATTTTAAAAGGCCTAAATCTAACCACGTAAATAATTACATCAAGTGTAAATGTTCAAAACAAACCATTTAAAAGCCAGGGCAACCACTCAGATTTTTTTTCAAAAAAGGGCAAAACTATATGCTGTGCATAACAGCTCAGTTTTCAATGTAAGGATTGATATATACAGATTAAAAGTAAAAAGATGGGAAAAGATGTATCATGCAAACACTAATCACATGAAGGCTACAGTGGCTATATTTCTATCAGGCAAAGCAAACTCCAGAACAAGGAAAATTAGCAGTAATAACTTCAAAATAAAGAAAAAACTGATAGAAATCAAATAGATGATTCCACAATTATACTTAAGAGATTTCAATTTCTCTGATGGTTTTTTTTTTTTTTTCATTGACTTCTCGTATCCTTTCTTCTGCTTTGCTTTAGTTTTTTTCTTTTTTTTCTGAATGTTTTGAGATTCTTTCTGTATTTTTCTTTATTATTATATGTCTATTTAAGGTGAAATATTTTCTTGGTAAACACTGCATGTCCACCACAACTTTGATAAGTTGTATGTTTTCCATTTTTTTGTCTATTCGACATATTTTCTAATTTATCATTATTGCGAAGATTTCCTCTTTCAAGCATGGATTAACAAAGATAGATAGTTTAATTTGGAAGTAGCTGTCTACATATCAATCAGTGGAGTACTGAAGAGAGGAGTATTG